GGGCTAGATGGCTCTGTGGTTAAGAGTACATATTGCTCTTACAGAGGGCCCAGGTTTGGTTCCCTGCACCCACATTGAACAGGTCACAACCTCATGTAACTCTTGGTCCAGAGAATCTAGTGCCCTCTGGCCTCCATTCTAAAGTAACTGCACACACACACACACACACACACACACACACACACACACACGCACACGCACACGCACACGCACACGCACACGCACACATACACACACACACACACACACACAGAGAATAAATCTTAACAAATAAATATTAAAATTAATTGGACGTTGTAGCAAAGCTCTTTCAGGGCTGGAGAGATGGCTCAGCAGTTAAGAGCACTGGCTGCTCATCAGGGAACCAGGGTTCAGTTCCCGGCATCTACATGGTAGCTCACACCTGTCAAGAACTCCACTCTCAGAGGATCCAATGCCCTCTTCTGGAGTCCATGGGCACCTCAGGCACACAGAGTGCTCAGACATACTGTTGAGGGCCGGATCGATCCAGGGCTTTCTCAGAGGCCCCAGTGAAAGGACTGTGGGAGCCCACAACTGACTCAGTTTCCCAGTTTGAAACTGAAGCCTATTCTGAGTCAATAGAATTCAAGCTTGTTTGCTCCAAGGCTGTGAGGAAGTCCTGATTAGCCCACAAGAAGGAACACACTATCTAGCTAGATGAGGGCTACTGATGCCAGCCAGAGGTACATTGAGATAGAAAATGAAAGTGCCTGCTCCTTGACGCAAGGCAGGATAGATAGTGGTTGAATGTCCGCGCTGTGCATTGTTCTATCTCTGTCCTTCCAGACTGTATATAAGCTGGCTGTGAAATAAACTCGGGGCCCTCTGGCACTGACCGGCAGACCTCTCGACTCTTTTCTGTCTCCTTCATTGTCTCTACAATCCGCACGCCTCTACCCAGCTACCCAGCTGACTGTCAGCAGACCCGACAAAGGACCAAAGGACCAAAGGACCCTACTTCTGTGTCCTTGCTCAGGAGCGGAATCGGTAGGGTGGGTCTGGAGCTGAGGCCTGGGTCTCGAAGGAGTCAAGGTTTCAGTTCCTGGGAACTTGCCCCCCCCCCCCCCCCCCGCCCCCAGATGGCAGTCATCAGTCTGCAGACCACTGCATACTTGGTCTGTAGCACTCTTGAGAGACTGTGTCCCCTTGTGCAGCACTGCTCAACTAGTCTCCTGCTGACCCTGCCCCATCTCCACCCCGGAAACAGCGTGTAAGGTGTACTTCCTTGTAGCTAGAGTTTTCCTGCCTGGCCCACGGTCAGGACAAATCTCTCTCACCCGCCAGTCCCACAGCCGCTCAGACCCAACCAAGTAAACACAGAGACTTATATTGGTTACAAACTGTATGGCTGTGGCAGGCTTCTTGCTAACTGTTCTTACAGCTTAAATTAATCCATTTCCACAAATCTATACCTTGCCACGTGGCTCGTGGCTTACCGGCATCTTCACATGCTGTTTGTCATCGTGGCGGCTGGCAGTGTCTCTCTGACTCAGCCTTCCACTTCCCAGCTTTATTCTCCTCCTTGTCCCGCCTACACTTCCTGCCTAGCCAATGGCCAATCAGTGTTTTATTTATTGACCAATCAGCAACACATTTGACATACAGAACATCTCACAGCACTTCCTTATCCTCTTTTTGTTGTTTGTTTGTTGTTGTTGTTTGAGACAGGGTTTCTCTGTGGAGCCCTGGCTGTCCTGGAGCTCACTCTGTAGACCAGGCTGGCCTCGAACTCACAGAGATGATGGTGGGGTATTTTTTTTAAAGATAGGATCTCCTTCAAGTTCAGGCTGGACTAGAACGCACCCTGTACCTCGAGAGTTCCGTACCTTGTGTAGATTCTGTACCTTGGGTTCCCGACCATCCTGGCCCCAGTTTCCTCAAAGCCCATGCCGCCACACCCTGAGTTCTGCTTGTGTCCTGCGTGAGTATTGAATCTAGGGGAGGTCTTTTACTGTTTTTGTAAGTTCTCAGCCTTTATCCCTCGGACACTTTTTCTTTTTCCTGTTCTCTCTCTTCCTGTTCTTGCTCTGCTTTCTACCTTGAGTTTCCAACCATCCAAATATTAGACACCATTTATCCTACTCTCGGATCCTTATTTTCTTCACATTGTTTGGGTTTCACTTAAAAAAAAAAAAAAAAGACAGGATGTCATGTAGCCCAGGCTAGCCTCAGACTCGCTCTGTTGTTGATAAAAAGTCTGAACCCCTAATCCTTTTGGCTCCACCTTTCAAGTACTGGGATTACAGGCATGCACCTCCATGCCTGGCTTAGTTTGGGTTATTTCTATGGAACTATAGTCAAGTTCCCCGCTACTTTTTCAGCTGTGTTGAGCATAACTTTTGTAGTTGTTTGGACAGAGTCTCACTCTGAAGCCCAGGCTGGTCTCAAATTCATGATCTTCCTGCCTAAACCCCTGAATTGTGTGCACACCATGTCGGACTCAGAAGCATTTTTAATAAGCTTTCTGTTCTAGAATCTCCCTGTTGCCTGATGTGGAATATTATTTAAGATGTGTTACATTTGTTTATGCTGTGGAATATCTGTTTAATGATGCAAAGATGTGGTGCATTCTTTTATGTTGCATTTGTTTAACTCTGTGAAGCTGTGTTACTTTGCCTATCTAAGACACCTGATTGGTCTAATAAAAAGCTGAACAGCCAATAGCAAGGCAGGAGAAAGGATAGGTGGGCTGCCAGGCAGAGAGAACGAATAGAAGGAGAAGGGGGAGGAGTGAGAAAAGGAGGAGGAGGACACCAGGGGCCACCCAGCTACACAGCCAGCCATGGAGTAAGAAGTAAAGAAAGACATGTAAAATAGAGAAAGGTAAAAGCCCAGAGGCAAACAGTAGATGGGATAATTGAAGTTAAGAAAAGCTGACTAAAAACAAGCCAAGGTAAGGCCCAGGCTTTTATAAGCAAGAATAAGTCTCCATGTTTTTATTTGGGAGCTGGGCAGTGGGCCCCCAAAGAGTGTTAAAAAAAAAACCCAAAAACTACAGTTGTTTCTATCAGCTTCCAAGGAAACCTCCTATCTGTTCATGGGTGATAACATCTGCCTTTTCCTAGAGCCATGGGCATAACGGTTAAGCCAAGGCTATCCTTACACAGCAAGTTTGAGGCAAGCCTGGGCCACACAAGTCCCTGATAATCCCAGAACTCGGTCTTCTCTGTCACTGTGATGCTTGGTCTGCTGTCTCCTAGCGAAGGACTGCCTTCCTTGCTCAAGGAGATGCTCTGTAGCGTGGGCACGGCAACAGGGATGCAAGGAGTGATGACTTTGCCTGGAGTTGGGTGCTCCTGCTTTGCCACGGTATCACAGTGGCACACTGAATGGATCTGGCCAGGAGATCGGCTGGAACTGGGTTACTCTCTTGCAGTCATTATCTCAGGGGTATCACCGGACCAGCTTATTTAGTGTTTTGTTGTTGTTGTTGTTGTTATTTTGTTGTTGTTGTTGTTGTTGTTGTTGTTAAGTTTACAGTCAGGGTGGGAGTGCTGGGGGACTTTTTTCAAGCATCCCCGCTGTTTGCTGCTTTCAGCCATGCCTGTGTATATACACATATCCCTATGTACCACCAAGGATGCTCTGCCCATAGTTTCCCTTTCCCCAGGATAACCTGCCATTGCCAGGGGCAGTCTAGCTGTCTGAAATCCAAGGGTGTCCCTTGCTGCCTCTTTAGTCTGTTTTGACTGAGGATTAGAGAGGTCTGTTCGGCCACACACTGCTGAGACAGAGTTCTAACCTTACCATTCTGCCATCTCGTGAGCAACCTGGAGACAAGAGTTTGCATGAAGAAGCCAGACGGCAGTGGTGCACGCCTTTAATTCCAACACTCACACTCAGGAGGCAGAGACAGGTGATCTCCGAGTTCAAGGCCAGCCTGGTTTACAGAGTGAGTTCGAGGACAGCCAGGGCTACACAGAGAAACCCTGTCTTGAGAAACAAAAAAATAAAATATAATAAAAGGTATTCAGGAAGGGATCCATGTGAAAGAACCTAGAAAGCAAGAGAAAAGCCAGGGCCTGAGTCAGGTCCAAGGCCACCTTGTCGTGGAGTCATCTTTTTATACCCTGTGAAGAAGTGTCACTCTGATTGGTTTAGTAAAAAGCTGAACAGCCAATAGCTAGGCAGGATTTCCGGGCAAGAGGACGTGAGGAAGAAGGGCGGAGATGCCAGGAGACATGGAGGAAGCAGGAAAGCAGGATGGGTGGTATGTAGATGAGGTAAACAAGCCTCGGGGCAGCACGTGGGTTAATAGAAACAGGCTGATTTAAGTTATAAGAGCTAATAAAGGTAAGCCTGAGCTACCAGCGAGCTCTCATAGTTAACAGTAAGTCTCCGTGGTGTGATTTGGGAGCTGGCTGGAGGGACAGAGAAAGACCGGCCACACCACACCTCTTACTGTTGCATTTGTACACACTGACAAGTGCTGTTGTTAGTCCAAACAACTCTCAATTTTCTGTTACTGGAATTCAGGGTTCCTGGTCGATAAAGCCACCATGAGCTTGCGAACCTTCCCTTGGGAGTGGTGGCTGACAAAGGAATGCACGAGGGAACAGAGAGATGGCTCAGCAGTTACGAGCACTTGCTGCTCTTCCAGAGGACCAGAGTTCGGTTCCTAGCACAACTGCCCGTAACTCCGGTTCCAGGGGATCCATGGGCACTGCATCCATGTGCAAAACACATACCACATGTGTGTGCACAAGCACACGCTACACAGCCAGCCCTAACAGAGAACCATAAAGAGGAAGACCAGTTATTTAAAGAACTCTGCACCTGTCTGCTCAGCACCGGGTGAGGGGTGCTAACCAAACGACTGTTTTATCAGACCAGTCTACTGCTGGAGGTCCTACTTTCCAAATGACATGCATGTATTTGCACTGCCAGTAAGACCCCTCCTAATCCACTTTAAAATAAAATGTTGTATCTTTGCGTATTTTTTACTCATAGAGCAAATATCATTGAGTGACTACTTTGAGTTAGGGAAGACCATGGTTTCATTTATTTGTTTTTCTGTATGTGAGTGTTTTGCCTGCACATATGTCTGGGCATCATGGAGGTGTCAGATAGCCACCACGTGGTCTTCTTCAGAAGCAGCCAGTTACTTGTCACCACTGAGCCACCCCTCCAGTCATGGCCGTGCAGCCTTGGCAGCGGACAGAGTCTCACGTGCTGGTGGACGTGGACATCATACTTCTGTTAATTCCTGCTGACATGCATGTTGGGAAGTTCTTGATCCTCTGCAACAGCTTGTTGGGGTTTTGGCAAACTCTTGGTAGAGCTCTACACCATGTTGTTTCCAGCCACCACCGGCATTCATGTTGGGTACAAACACTACACTTTGGTTAACAAAACAGAACGGCATTTGACAGGCCTTGGCTTCTGCATAGGTTCTCAGGAGGATGACTGCTTCTGCACTCTTCCCTCCTACAGAACTGCTCGCTGCTATGGACTCTTTGATGGATCAGAAGGCCTGAACTCCAACGGAAACCCTTCCCACAAGCTTCACACGTGTAGGGTTTCTCTCCCGTGTGGACTCGCTGGTGAGCTTGCAGATTTGATCTCTGGCTGAAGGCTTTCCCACACACCTCACATTTGTATGGCTTCTCCCCAGTGTGGACTCTGTGATGGGCCTGGAGACTGGAACACCCACCGAAGCCCTTACCGCACTGCTCACATCTGTACGGGCTTCCCTCTGTGTGGATCCTCTGGTGTGCTTGGAGGCGGGAGTGCTCACTAAATCCCTTCGTGCATGTCTCACACTTGTACGGTTTTCCCCCCACGTGGACCCTGCGGTGGGCGTCAAGGCGGGAACTCTGGCTGAAGCCCTTCCCACACATCTCGCATTTATATGGTTTCACCCTCGTGTGGACTCTCTGGTGACCTTGGAGATATGCTCTCTGACTGAAGCCCTTCCCACACACCTCACATATATATGGTCTCTCTCCAGAGTGAACGCTCCGGTGGCTTTGAAGGTACGATTTCTGACTGAAGCCCTTCCCACACTGGTCACACTGGTAAGGCTTCTCTCCCGTGTGGACTCTCTCATGGGCCAGGAGAGTTGAGGCCTTGCTGAAGCCTTTGCCACATTCTCCACATTTATAGGGTTTTTCTCCTGTGTGAACCCGCTGATGAATTTGAAGATTAAAGCTCCAGCTGAAGCCCTTCCCACACTCCGCACACTTGTATGGTTTCTCTCCGGTGTGAACTCTCTGGTGGCCTTGAAGGTGTGAACTCCGGCTGAAGCCCTTCCCACACTCTTCACACTTGTATGGTTTCTCTCCGGTGTGAACTCTCTGGTGGCCTTGTAGGTAGGAATTCCGGCTGAAGCCCTTCCCACACTCTTCACACTTGTATGGTTTCTCTCCGGTGTGAACTCTCTGGTGGGCTTGAAGGTAGGCACTCCGACTGAAGGCCTTCCCACACTCTGCACACTTGTATGGTTTCTCTCCGGTGTGGATTCTCTGGTGAACGTTAAGGACCGATCTGTGACTGAAGGCTTTCCCACAGGTGTTGCATTTGTGAGGCTTCCGTTTCTGACGTTCTCTGGGGCTGGGACTCCAGTTACGGCCATTCCCACCCTCTTTATAAAAAGGCTTCTCTCCGATGTGAAGCTGCTGATGGCCTTGAGTACACAAATTCTGACTGAAGCTGGTGCTGCATGTATGCTTATGCACTTGTTCTCTGGGGTCCACTGTTGGAAAGTCCTGGAAAGGTGGGGGCAAACTGAAGTGCTTATCACACTCAGAGTTATAGAGAGTCTCTTCCACATGAACTCTGTGCTGAGTGTTGAAATTTGAGCAATGTGTGAAATCTTTTCTAGAGTCCACACCTGGATATAACTTCTCTTCAGCATGGATGTTCTGGTTAACTTGAAGATATAAACTCTGATTAGAAACATTCCCATTCTTCTCATATTTGTTGGGTTCTTCCCTAATATGGGCCCTAAAATTACTACTACAGTGTAAACAGCAATCAAAAGCTTTCTCGGGGATGCTGCCCTTCTGGGTGCTAAGAGGGGAGCCGTGACGGACGTTCTCGCTGCATTGGCACAGCCTCGGCTCTGTCCACGCTCCTGGAGGGGACCGCAGGGGAGCCCTCTCAGCAGCACCTGCGTCTCCTGCCTCCACACTTGGATGAACGTGAAGAGCTGACCTGTCGGGACAGCCCTTTCCACGTGGACTGCGTGGACAGGGCTTCCCTCTTGAATGGAGCCGCTGATGGGTGTGAGAGCTGTGGTCACTGCTGTCGCCACGGCCCCAGGCTCTTCCATACTCCATACACGGGCAGGGCTCAGGCCTCGGTTTAATCAAGTCCTGCTTAAGTGACAACGCCTTCACGGTCTCTTCTCTGTAGCCATGGAAACTACAGCTTGTCCCCTTTCTGTGTACCCCCTCATTGCCACTGTGGTGTGAGAGCCACCCAACGCTGTCACATCTACAGAAATGATTTCTCACGGATGGTTGCTGACCTTTCCACTGGCAATTACATGGCCCACTGAGACATGAGTCCCTCCAAGACTGCTGGGAAGGAAACTCTTGATTTTTCATACGAGAGTCGCCACCTACAGGGGGCAACACGTAGTTCCCATCTTCAGAAATCTGACCCGGCAGCCCTGCGCACACCCAGCAGGGAGGATCTCCTTGGTTCTGAGACTCAGTGTTCCTCTCTGTACATCTTCTCACCAAGTCCTGAGCCCCGGGTAACACGCAGGTCTGACAGGAGGAGAGCTCTTTGGGACAAAGGGAGTTTAATTCCACATCTTCGGCACTCTCCACAGCATGTCCACCCTCGCTTCCTATGAGGATGAGAAGAACCCAAACAAACGCACAAGTGAACCCCTTATTGAGAGACGCTGGTATTTAACACTTGGCTCACAGCAGGAGACTGACATGTCACACTGTTTCTGTGGGTGCTTACAAAACACCTGATACATACGCACAGGAGCCACAAAACCGAGGCTCTCTGGGTACCTTAAAATCTGGGTTTTCCACTGGGCAGTGGTAGTGTACACCTTTAATCCCAGCACTTGGGAGGCAGAGACAGGTGGATCTCTGTGAGTTCAAGGCCAACCTGGTCTACAGAGTGAGTTCCAGGACAGCCAGGACTACACAGAGAAACCCTGCCTCAAAGAACAAAAGAAAAAAAAAAAAAGATTTAGGTTTTCCTAACAAAATCTGGATATCAACTGTGGCCCCATCCAAAGGTCTAGGGAACTCTAAGCATGTCACTGTGGCTTCATCACGGGCTGTTGGGTGACCCAGTGGAGAACACAAAAGGGGTATTCCCAGAGTGGAAAATGTCTTTTGTCTTCTGTGAGTGTGAGTGTGAGTGTGTGTGTGTGTGTGTGTTGTGTCTGTGTGTGTGTGGTTTCTCTCTCCTGTGTATGGATGTGTGTGTGGTCTCTCGATCTTCTGTATGTGTGTGTGTGTGTGTGTGTGTGTGTGTGTGTGTGTGTGTGTTTCCTCTGTGTGGTTCCTCTCTCTTTCTCTGTGTGTGTGTGTGTGTGTGTGTGTGTGTGTTTCCTCTGTGTGTGTGTGTGTGTGTGTGTGTGTGTGTGTGTGTGGTCTCTGTGTATGTGTGGTTTCTCTCTCCTTCTGTGTATGTATGTGTGTGTGGTCTCTCCATCTTCTGTATGTGATCTGTGTGTGTGTGTGTGTGTGTGTTTCCTCTCTCTGTGTGGTTCCTCTCTCTTTCTGTGTGTGTGTGTGTGTGTGTGTGTGTGTATGTGTGTGTGTGTGTGTGTGTGTGTGTGTGTGTGTATGTATGTATGTATGCCCAGCAGCATCACTCCCACCTGGCCCAGCATCATCATGCCCACCTGGGTACCCACCTCCTTGGGTCTCCTCCATGTAAAGCTTCTCTTCCTTCTCCAGCTGGGCTATCAGATCTGGTTTGAAAGGCTGATGTGCTATGTGAAAAAGACAGAAAAGCAAAAGTTTGATGATGTCTACTTTGTCAAAATTAGATAAAAAGAGTGGGTATGGAAGTAGATGTCTGCCATACTTGCATCTGGGAGGTAGAGACAGGCAGATCAGAGGTTCAAGGTCACCCTAAGCTATATAGTAAGTTTGAGAACAATCTAACCTGGGCTATATGAGATGCTGACTCAAAGAAAAGAAACAGAACGAAGGAAGGAAGGAAAGGAGGGAGGGAGGGAGGGAGGGAGGGAGGGAGGGAGGGAGGGAAGGAAGGAAGGAAGGGAGGGAGGGAGGGAGGGAGGGAGGGAGGGAAAAAAAGAACTTTAGAGCTGGAGAGATGGCTCAGTGGTAAAAACACTGGCTGCTCTTCCAGAGGGCTGGGGTTTGGTGGCTCACCACCACCTCTAACTCCAGTTCTAGGAACTCTGAAGCCCTCTCTGGCCTCTGGGGGCACCTGCCCTCAACATGGCGTACACACACACACACATGGGCGCACGCACACATGATAAATATGTTTTTAAAAATAACTCCCAAAGAATCAGATCAATAGTTACGGCCACGCACCCTGTAAAGCCAAACAAGCTGGAACCGCACAGCAGAGGGGTTTTATGGACACCAATGCCGAAGGGCCTGACGGGCCCGCTCTCCTGCACCATGACCAAAAGCTACTTGGGGAGGAGAGGGTTTATTTCAGCTTACAGCTTGTAGTCCACCACAACAGAAAGCCAGGGCAGGACTCAAGGCAGGAACCTGGAGGCAGGAGCTGGAGCAGAGGCCATGGAGGGGTGCTGCTTGCTCCCTACAGAACCCAGAGTGACCTGGCAGGGCTGGCACCACCCACCGTAGGCTGGGCATAATCGTAGCAATAATGAATCAAGAAAATGCCACACAGACTTGCCCACAGGCCAACCTGATGGAAGCATTTTCTCAAGTGAGGCTTGCTCTTCCCAGATGACTCTAGCTTATGTCAAGTTGACAAAATCAAGCAGGAGTCCCATATACAGCTCAACAGACAGACGATGGAGCCATGCAAAACCTCCTGTGCTCCTAGACAGCCAAGCCCTGAGACTAATTCCAGGCATCCCTGAGCTCCCAGCAGCTGGAAACCCAGCTGGAAATCCTCACCCACTGAGAGCAGCGTCCTGAAGTTCTCCAGCATCACGTCACGATACAGCTGCTTCTGGGCGGCGTCCAGCAGCCCCAGCTCCTCCTCGCTGAAGACCACGGCCAGGTCCCTGAACGTCACCGTCTCCTGTGACAGCAAACACAGGCTATGCCCACAGAAGAGGTGGTGCTGAGAAGACGTGGAGAAGCTGTGTAGGACTGGAGCCTCTTAGGTGGAGGCTCCTCCTCTGCTGCCTTCTACTCCGCTGGACCCTCCCATCGCGAGGGCAGAAAGGAAATCCTCATATTTGTGTGTGTGTGTCTGTCTGTCTGTCTGTCTGTGTCTGTCTGTCTGTCTGTGAGTATGAGTGTGCACGTGCATATGTCCGTACCTGTGCACATGCACGTGGAGACCAGAAGCTCACATCAGTGTCATTGTCTCTGTCTCTGCATCTTAAGAAAAGTTATGGCTTTATTATGTTGTGCGCACGTGTGGGCGTGTGTCACGGCAAGCACGTGGCCCGGCATGTATGTGGAGGGCTTCAGCCTCGCAGAAACACAGGGCAGGGTACAATCTCTTGATGTTTCTGCCATACTGTGTACTCCAGGCTAGCTAGGCTGCCAGCTTCCAGGCGGTTCTCCCGTTCCCTCCATAGTGGGATTGCAGAGGTGCACCACCACATCTGGCTTTTTACACAGACTCCAAGGATTGAACTCGGGTCATCGGGTTGTGTGGCAAGTGTTTTTATCTGCTGAGCCATCTCCCCAGCCCCTTCCACCTTACTTCATAAGACAATGTATTCTCACTGAATCTGGAGCTCACCAATTAAGTCAATTTAGTAATAATTATTCTCTTTCCATATATTAACTATTTCTTTTTAAAAGGTTATTTTTTATTTATTTGTGTGTGTTGGGGAGCTCATGCATACCACAGTGCATGTGTGGAGGTCAGAAGACAACTTCAGGGGGACAGTTCTCTCCTATTATGTGGGTCCCATAGATCACACTCGGGCCCTCAGCCTTGGCAGCAAGCTCCCTTACCACTGAGCTCCCTCACAGGCCCTTGGTCACCTTTCCTATTTATTCTTCTGTAGTGTCACCGGGCAGACATGATTGCTCTCACTTCCTTTTACATTGTAAACGTCTTGCATATTGCTTTGTTATTTGGCTGCTATAGAGAAATCTTGGATGTTTATACTGCAGACCTGTTCAAGCCTATGCCTGCTCCACGGGAGGTTCCAGGCATCTTGCCCTTGGCTATGGATGGAGAACTCTGCCTTCCTCTGCCCTGCCCTGCTCTCCTCTGCCCTGCTCTGCTCTGCCTTCCTCTGCCCTGCCCTCCTTGGCCCTGCCCTCCTCTTCCCTCCTCTGCCCTGTCCTCCTCTGCCCTGCTCTCCTCTCCTCTGCCCTCCTCTGCCCTGCCCTCCTCTTCCCTCCTCTGCCCTGCCCTCCTCTGCCCTGCCCTGCTCTGCCCTGCCCTCCTCTTCCCTCCTCTGCCCTGCCCTGCTCTGCCCTGCTCTCCTCTGCCCTGCTCTCCTCTGCCCTGCTCTGCCCTGCCCTGCCCTCCTCTTCTCTCCTCTGCCCTGCTCTGCCCTCCTCTGCCCTGCCCTGCTTTGCTCTGTACTCTGCTTTTTTCCCTCTGATTTTCCACTAAACAAGGCTGACTGTCTTGACCCAGAAGGCAAAGGCCTCAGAACACTCCTCATCCTGTGTGAACATGGATCTCTCATCCTCACGGAGGAGTGTGAAGGACCCCTGCCCCACTCGGTCCTTCATGCCTGTGAATAAGGTGATGGATGGGGAGTGACTGTGCCCCGCAGTGCTGAGGATATTTACATTCAATTAACTCAAGGCATAAACTGTGAAAACTTCCCCCAACCCCATGTCAACCACTGTGATGAAAGAAACCTGGGGGCTCAGAGGTTCAGAGGCTGGCTGCTCATGCAGAGGAGCCAGGTTTGGTTCCCAGCAGCCACATGGCAGCTCACACCCATCTCTAACTCATTCCAGGGATCTGACACCCTCTCTAGCTTCCAGGGATACCAGGCATACGCATGTTGCACAGACATACATGCAGGCAAGATGCTCATATACAGAAAATAAAAATACACAAATCTTAAAATAAAATAAGAAGAACAAAGTGAAAAAAAAACAATAAAGTATCACCTAAGGGATATCGATTCACTGGTGTGTATGCACATGTGTGCGTGCATGTATGTGTATATAATATGTATATATATATATATGGAGAGAGACTTATACAGTTTTGAGTCTCTAGAAGGTTACACAAGTTAGACTTGTGACAGACTGCTGTTCCTGTTGCATTTTCATTGCTGTGTGGTGCGAGGGATGAAGTCAGGTTTTTGCCAAGTGCCAGGTGAGTGATGTGTCCGGGGCTACACGGCCAGCCTCAAAGCTGTTTTCTGAGTCAAAGTTCTCCATAGGGAAATGGATACAGCAACATCAAGCTGTGGGATGCCTCAGGAATTTGCAGCTTGTGGGTGGGGAATAACTTCATGCAAATGGTGAGATCATCACTGGGGAACATCAGTGCGTTCACTGACAGCATCAGAAGATTTTAAATTCACAATATATGTCCAATTCCATGCTATAGCCCAGCAAATGTAGCTTTAAATGGCCATGGGGCCGGGGGGGGGGGGGGGGGCATTGTAAGCAAGATGATGATGTGTGTAATTTTTGAATTTCTATTCTCTTTTACACCATTCATTTACAGAATTAAAATGATGTGTGCGTCCAAGAGGGGAACAGTGCACCCACTCTGAGACACCAGGGTGGTTCAAACAGGTTATGGCCCCCACAGACTCACGTGTTTGAATGCTTGGCCTGTAGCGAGTGGCACTATTAGGGGTGTGGCCCTGTTGAAGTAGGTGTAGCCTTGTTGGAGGAAGTGTGTCACTGTGGAGGTGCCTTTGAGGTCTCCTATGCTCAAGCTACATCCAGTGTGGCACACAGTCTCCTGTTGCCTGTGGATCAAGATGTAGAACTCTCAGCTCCTTCTCCGGAATCATGTCTGCCTGCATGCTGCCAGGATGATGATAACAGACTGAACCTCTGAACTGTAGGCCACCTCCAATTAAATGTGTTCCTTTGTCAGAGTTGCCAGGTGATGGCGTCTCTCCACAGCCATAGAAGCCCCGAGACATGGAGTAAATGGCACAGATGAAAATCAACTCACCTGCAATCTGGTCATTTTCTCTTCCTTTTTTTCTAGGAAATGGTGGAGACCTGGGAAGGCAGGACAGGATGACAGACACCATGAGAGAGGGAACATACAACTCTGTCCAAGTGAGATCAAACAACCCCTCGCACCTCCAGACATAGCCACATGCATGTGCTGCACAGTGGGGCCCGCGGGCCCCATTCCAGGCACCCCCAAGAACGCCCACCCTAGGCTATAGGCAGGAAGAGCCTTCCCAACTGTCCTGACTTCATACTGGACATCTCCCAGAGTGTTCACTGCCATCCTGGGAAATGTGGCGAAGGAGAGTGGGGAAAGGTATTGGCTCCAAGTAGCATCAAGGGGCGAAACGCCTGTGTTCGAGCCCGGTGCTGGGCTGAGATGGCTCAGCAGGGGGAGGCAGCCAAGCCTGACGACCTGAGGCTAGCCCCCAGGACCCACACGGGGGAGAACGGGCCCCCACGGGTTGTCCTCTGGCATGTGCTTGTGTATACACCCACACTGAATAAATATCAGTAATTTTTTAAAAGGTGTGTGGTGCTAGCGTGTGCTCACTGAGTAACCATAGCTAAGTTCATTAACCTTTTAAATTTCAATTCCGTCATCTGCAAAAGCGCTGCCAGAGTGCTGGCACTCAGTGTTAAGGGCTGCTGGGATTCTGTGCTCCAGGTGTGGACAGCTACTGTAAGGAATCAAACCTCTCTATGTCCCCATGACTGCCCAGAAGTGAATTCTAATCTGCATCACAGAACTGCCCCTTTGCTCTAACCCCAGTGAGAGGTTAGAGTATGGCTCAGTGGTAGAGCTCCTGCCTGGAATCCCCCAGTGAGGGGCTGGGGGTGTGGATCAGTGGTAGAGCATCTGTCTAGAATCCCCCAGTGAGGGGCTGGGGTATGGCTCAGTGGTAGAGCCCCTGCCTAGAATCACCAGTGAAGGGCTGGGGGTGTGGCTCAGTGGTAGAGCCCCTGCCTAGAATCCCCCAGTGAGGGGTTGGGGTGTGGCTCAGTGGTAGAGCCTCTGCCTAGAATCCCCCAGTGAGGGGCTGGGGGTGTGGCTCAGTAGTAGAGCACCTGCCTAGAATCCCCCAGTGAGGGGCTGGGGTGTGGCTCAGTGGTAGAGCCCCTGCCTAGAATCCCCCAGTGAGGGGCTGGAGGTGTGGCTCAGTGGTAGAGCCCCTGCCTAGAATCCCCCAGTGAGAGGCTGGGGTGTGGCTCAGTGTTGTATAGCAGTGTCTTCCAAGACAAAATGTCCCATCCTGTAGGGACCCTCCTTAGATGGAGAATGTTCTATAAGGTAAAAAAAAAAAAAAAAGAAAGAAAGAAAGAAATCCATTATGCCGAGAAGCTCAATAAAATTCAGGAAATAAACAACTCAAAAGCTTCAGGAAGTCCCTGAACCTGACCAGATTCAGCAGACCTCTCCCTTCCCAGACATTTATAAGCAGTAAGGAATACTTAGTGAGATCTCAGCAAGCTGAGCTGCCTAGAAGAGGCTCACATCAGCTGAAGTCCCAGCAGATCTGATAAAGAGATTCAGACCAACTGAGGCACCTAAGACCCTCTCCAGCCTGTCGAGCTCCTGCAGACCATGCAGTGTGCTCCAGGTTCCCAGCATTGTGAGCTGTCCCCCATGCTGGGGTGGGCTTTGGTGATGCAGCTGTCTTTGAGTCATTTCTGCTCCCGTAAGTGACCCCAATAAACCCCAATAAAACTCAGTGGTTCACCAAGTTGGACTTTTTGGGTTGTCACTGGTTCTCTGTCTGGGATGAGGTGACATCTGTCATGTCTCCCCAGGAATAGCGTCACACAATTTTCAATGGTAGAGGCACTACGAAGAACCCGCCAGTGGGGGCTGGAGATGCAGCTCAGTATTGAATTCTACCCCCAACACTGAAAGATAAATAAACAAGTAAGTGGCTGAGGATGGTTCAGTGGATAAGGGGCTTGTTGCACAACCTGAACTCAATCCTTAGCATTCATGTGAAATGCAACTCCATGGCTGTATGCTTGTGGGAGGTGGAGACAGGGGGACCACTGGGGCTGGCTGGCCACCAGCCTACCTCCAAGTTCAGTGAGAGACTCTGTCTCAAGAGAATTAAGCAGTGATAGAGCAGAACACCTGATGTCCTCCTCCTCCTCCTGCCTCTGTACTTGCATGGGCGTTGGGCAAAACACATAGGCATGCACTACACATATACACACACAAAAATAAATATTATAATTTGAAAAGAGAAACAAGGGCACATACCAACGTGTTAGAGATTTGGGGCTGTGCATAATAAACATCAAACATGAGTTAGCTATTGGTAAGACCATTCTTGTTGCCACTGAAGTTAACGGTCCACACACTAGCCTCCATCCATCTCTAAACAGTGTCTTTATTTAGGTTAGTAATCACGAATCCATACACATCACCCTTTAGACATTCTAAAAAGTCTTTAACATCTTTGGGATGGCATGGACCTTCTTTAACATCCCACCAAAACTGCCTGGGGACAGGGAGAGAGGGGTACTGAAACTTTCTTTCTTATCCATTTTCAAAGAAGTTGAACATATTCTCATTGAGTCAAAGGTCCCTGTGGTGGCATTCCTGCTGAGCTCCTGGCCTGGCTCCAAAGAGCAGCACCTAGCCCTAATCCTTCCTTTGTTATGCCACACCTTCTGTTTCTCTTATCGCCCTATGTGAATCTTGTCTGAGAGTCTCCCAAGGATCAAAGGCCTATGCAAAACTTGGTTCAGGAAACCCGAGGTACCTGAGAAATCAAGTAATTTGCACCTGGCATTTTATCTCTGGGAGCTCCTTTTGGGTTGCTTTGAAGGTACGGAAATTAACTGGCTAAACAGTAAATAGAGAGAAATAAAAATGCCCTAGGTGAAGGGATAGTGCTCCAGTCCTTTGAGGCTGGACCCCCCTGCAGCCATGAAAGGCTATATTCATTTTTAAGATGCCTCTGAGTCTTCTTTCCATGGATCCACGTGAACCCACACAGTCGTGTCGTGACAAACAGCGACAGTCCCTGTTGAAGGGCACACCTATGACAAACGGCCACTACTAATTCCTTTATGCCCATCCCTGCACAAGGCAAGAGTCATGATGGGAACTCTACATGGTTCCTATTCCCTAAAATGTGTGCATCAAACTCAGCCCAGCACAAATGATCAACCTGAAGAGAATGTATGTGAGTTTCCTGGTGGAATGTTCTAGAAATGTGAATGAGGTCCAGGGGTTAATAGTATTCTTCTGGCCTGTATATCCTTATTAGTTTTCAGTATACTTGTTGCATTGTTCACTGAGAAAAGTGCTGCAGTCTCTTGGGTCTGTTGTCTTTCATTCATGCGACGTTTCGTGATTATGCACTTGGGGTTGTCATATCTGTCGTGTCTAGCTGGCAAACTGACCATGGTGCACTGCCCCCTGCCCCAGCTGGCAGCAGTCTGGAAGTCTCCTGTGTCTGCTGTTAATGAAACCGCTCTGTGCTCCGCTTGTGTGTTGGGTCCTTCTTCGTTTGTTACTGTGACTAGACACCTGACAGAAGGGACTTGGGAGCAGAGAAGCTGTATCTGAGCTCTGTGTCATGGAGCATTGTTGAAAAGGCATGATGGGGCACGCATGTGGAGATGCCTCATGTTAGAGTGAACAGGTTGCAGTGTTCTCCCGTGGAACGACATTTGTACACTGTAAATATGTATTGCTCTCATTCTTAATAAAAAGCTGATTGGCCGATAGGTAGGCAGGATTTTTGGGGAAGAGAGAATGCTGGGAAGAAGGGTGGAGTTGGAGGAGTCGCCAGCTGCTGTGGAATAGTCCTTCTGTACACTGTGAATATGTATTGCTCTCATTGGTTAATAAAAAGCTGACAGGCCGGTAGCCGGGCAGGAAGTTAGGTGGGAAAGCCAAACTGAGAATGATGGGGAAAAGGAGGGCACAGGGAAAGGAGTAGTCGGCAGATGCAGAGGGAGAAGATGAACATGCCATGCTAATAAAGGTACCGCCACATGGCAGAGCATAAATAAAGAATATGGCTTAACTTAAAACATAAGAGCTAGTTAGTAATAAACCTGAGCTATTGGCCAAGCATTTATAATTTAGAGTAAGCCTCCGAGTGATTATTTGGGAGCAGGCAGTTGGGACAGGAAAACTTTCAACTACGGTTTGCCAGATACAGAGAGGAAACAGAAGGTACAAAATGAAAGAGAGGTAATGCCATGTGGCAGAATGCCGATTAATATAAATGGGTTAATTTAAGTTGTAAGAGCTAGTTAGTAATAAGCCTGAGCTATCGGCTGAGCATTTACAATTAATATTAAGTTTCTGTGTGGTTATTTGGGAGCAGCTGCCAAGACACAGAGAAACTCCACTACAGTGTTCAGGCCCATCCACATTGACCAATTTCCACCCGATAAATCCCCATAGCCCAAAGGTTCCACAACCTCCCAAAACAGTGCCAACAGCCGGCAACCAAGTGTTAAAACACACGAGCCAGTGGGGGACACTACTGATTCAAACCATAAATGTGTTTTTCTCTTTAATCTTTTCAAAGATTTTCCTGTCTTTTTTGAGACAGGGTTTCTCTGTGTAACCCTGGCTGCCCTGGAACTCACTCTGTAGACCAGGCTGGCCTCGAACTCAGAGATCCACCTGCTGTTGTGGAATATTAATTTAATTGGGCAAAGATGCGTTACATTTGTTTATGCTGCATTTGTTTAATGGTGTCAAGCTGTGTTGCATTTGTTTCACCCTGCCTGCCTAAGGTACCTGATTGGTCTAACGAAGAGCTGAATGCCCAATAGCTAGGCAGGATGTGGACAGGCAGGGCTGGTAGGCAGAAAGAATAAATAGGAGGAGGAATCTAGGCTTGGGAGGAACAAGAGAAAGAGAAGAGAACGAGGGAGAAAAGGAGGACACACAGGGCAGGAGGCCAGGCAGAGGCCAGCCAGCCAGCAGACACAGAGAAACAGTGAAAGTAAGATACACAGAGGTAAGAAAGGTAAAAAGCCCTGAGGCAAAAGGTAGATAAAGAGAAACAGGTTAAGTTAAAAGAGCTAGCTAGGCTGAGCATTCATAACTAATAATAAGTCTCTGTCCATGTCATGACTTGGGAGCTGATTGGTGGCCCAAAAAGAAAAAGCCTAATACAGCCTGTCTAATCTTTTAAACTTTTAAATTTTTGTGTTTTTGTTTGTTTGTTTGGTTGGTTTTTTTGTTTGTTTGTTTTATTTTGGCTTTAGTTTTTTTGTTGTAGTTTTTTTTTTTTTTTTTTGGTTTTGGTTTTGGTTTTTGGAGACAGGGTTTCTCTGTGTAGCCCCTGGCTGTCCTGGAACTCACTCTGTAGACAAGGCTGGCCTTGAACTCTGAGGTCCTCCTGCCTCTGTCTCCAAAGTGTTGGGATTAAAAGCGTTTTCCTACCACCACCTGGCTAAATTTTTAACTTAACTGTCCTTGTATCTAAAATGAAGTTCTTTCAGACAGCATATACTAGACTCTTGCTTTATGAACACACACACACACACACACACACACACACACACACACACACACACACACACACATGGTTTGGAATTCACAGAGATCTGCTGGCATGTTCTAAGTGCTGGGATAAAAGGCGTGTGCCACCATGACTAGTCCCCAATCTGTAATCTTTGTAAACGATGTATTTGATGGTTGGCTTTCATTATCAACTTGACACAACCTAAAATCACATGGAAACAAAATCTCAATAAATGATCATCTACCTTAGCATGTGGGCATCTTTTTTTTCTTAATTTTGTTTATGTATTTTATTTTTATTTTTATTTTTTTAGGTATGAGTGCACTGTCTGCACATATGCCTGCAGGCCAGAAGGGGGCATCAGAAACCATTACAGATGGTTGAGAGCCCCCATGTGGGTGCTGGGAATTGAACTCAGGACCTCTGGAAGAGCAGCAAGCAAGCCAGTAAGCATGCGTGCATATATTTCTTCTGCTCCTAACTCTGGATGTGAAGCCAGCTGGTTCACGTTTCTGCTCTGACTTCTCCACACCGATGGACCGTAACCTGGAACTGTAAGCTGAAATAAACTCTTCCCTTTCCATGCTGCTTTTCATCGGAGTATTTTATCATAGCAACAGATGTAAAAGCAGAGTAAGTGGCATCCTGTGGCTACTGATGTGGCTGGACTTCAGTCCACCATTGCATTCTTCTTGCAATTTGTCCTCGCTGGTTTTATCCCTCTGACTCCATGTCTGCTTTCATTTGCGGCTGCTTATTATTGATCGATTTTTACCATTTCGTTCATTTTACCTCTTAGCTTCTGGCTCTAGCGCCAGAATTTCTGTTTGCCTTTAGTGGTTGGCCTTGGATGGCAACAAACACATCTAACTGTTCACAGTCTGTATTTCAGTTTGTTAACATTAAATTTTACTTGCTTATTATGTGGCCACATGCACACCATAGCATGTGTACGGAGGTCAGAGGGCAACTTACAGGGGTTGGTTCTCTCCTTCCACCATGAGGGTCCCGGGTATTGAACTCAGGTTGGCAGGGTTGGCAGCAGGTGCCTTTTCCCACAGGTGCCCTTTTCCCGCCACCTCAATGGTCCCACAGCTTGTTTAATACTACCATTTTAAAACTACTTGTGAAATGCAGAACCTTTTGGGGGGTTGTATGTGCTCCACTACAGACACTAAGAATCTCTAGCTAAGAAAGCTACGTTTTATGCCTTTTCTCTCTCACAGCGCTAGGGGTCGCACCTAGGACCCTGCACATGTAATTTTTTAATTATTATTATTTTTTAATGTAAGTGTTGAGGACTTCAATGTTGCACTTTATATTTTTACTTTTATTTACTACTATGTGTACACCTGCTTGTCTATTTGCCCACAGCATGCAGTGTCCTCAGAGGTCAGTGAGTCCCCGGAAACTGAAGTTACAGTTGTGAGCCACCTGTGGGTCATGGGACCTGAACCTGGGGTCCTGTGTAAGAACAGTAAGCCCTGTTAGTCACTGAGCCATCTCTCCAGCTCCAATTCCACTCAGTATTTATTTATTTGTGGGTGGGTGGGTATATGCATGTTATAGCAATTCTCTTCTTTTATCATGAGAGTCCCGGGGATCAAACTCAGACATCAGGCGTGGTGGCACCTGCCTTTACCTGCTGAGCCATCTCACCGTGCCTAGTTCACAAGATTGTAGAAAGGACTGTACATCAGATTAAGAAAAATATGTAGATTATATGGAAATAAAATTATCTATGTACATAGGATGTAATGAAAATAATTTATTTTTTTTTTTCTGTATAATGGCTGTTCTGGAACTAGCTCTGTAGACCAGGCTGGCCTCGAACTCACAGAGATCCACCTGCCTCTGCCTCCTGAGTGCTGGGATTAAAGGCGTGCGCCACTATCACCAGCTATATTTTTCTTTTTTGGTAGATTAAGTGAATTTTTATCTAAGTTTTAAAAAGCAGACTTTATTTTTTCCTTAAATAAATGTAAAAAATAAAAATAAATAAATGAGGATGACGGTTCCACACCCAATAAAGCTCTGTGAAGCTGAATTTGTTAACTTGTATAAAACCCTTACAATATTTAACGTTAAATGCTTATAAAACATCCTTACTGCTTATGCCCATGTATTTCCTCACCCCTTCTAGAATTTATTAAAAAAAAAAATGCTTGGGCAGCTTCATAGCCAGATCTGTCAATGAGTGCAAACACCATCGCCCCTGAGAAGAGAGGGTAGTGAGAAGGAAGGATGCTAAATTCTACCCATGTGTATTAGTCACTTCTCTGTTGCTATGATAAAACACCATGACTAAGGCAACTTGTAGAAGAAGGCGTTTATTTTGGCTTCGGTTCCAGAGGGCTCCCTAATGGTAGGGGCAGCAACAGGAGCAGGGAGCTGAGAGCCCCCAGCTTGAGCCCAGAGCACAAAGCAGAGAGAACAAACTGCAGCAAGATAAGACCTCAAGTCCTCAGAGCCTGACCCTCCCCACCCACAACCGCCCCCGTGACGTACGTCCTCCAGCAAGGCTGCACACAGCACACACCACCCCCAACTGTGGACCAATATCCAAGACGCCAGAGGCCATGGGGTCATTTCTCATTCAAGCTACTACTGCACCACATTCTATGCTGCCTCTTCCCGCTGCTGCCTTTTTCAAACATAGGCTCAGGAAGGCAAGATGCGGGGAGAAACCGGACCTCATCAACCCCGGCCCCCCATAAGTCATAGTGGACACTTTAGGCAACAGCTGGGAGCGATCGTCTCAACAAAAAAACCAAACTGAGTCATTACGGATTTGGGGTAAAGGGGTCAGGCTGGGGCCAGCGACCCAATAGCGGGGGCTCTGAGACCATGTGTGGGTCGCTGGAGCTTCCAGGGACCGGGGTGCTTCTCCGAAATTTGGAAAGCACTAAGAGCAAACTGGCCCATCTCCTGCCGCGCGCCAGCTGTTCTGAGCCTTGCAGGAAACTCAAAATCACTCTTGGATGGGTACCAAAGTGTTGAGGAAGAAACGGAGGCAGAGATGGAGACTGTGAACGCCACAGCTGGGGGATGGCATCGCTGACAGAGGCTAGGGAGACGGCTGGGGGCGCCCCCGCCCAGGAGACCCTCCATCCAGGTGACTGACAGCCCCCGGCCGGGCCTGAGTCGGTGTGCGCAAGCGCGGCACCCTCGGGCAGCCTCGTTCAAAGCAAACTCTGCGTCCTGCCCTTCTGAGGCCGCTTTCCTTCCCCAGGATCCACGCCTGCTGGCCATCGCCCAGGGCAACCTGAAAAGTATCGGGCAGACGCGGGAGGGGACAGCGGAGGGAGGGCTCACCTTTCTGAGAGGAACACAGGCCGGGGCCTCGCACACCTGAGGCGGAAGTGACTCTTCCCGCACAGGCCGCCTGGACTACACTTCCCAGAATTCCCGAGGGGAGCAGGGACAACACACAGACTCGTGCAGAGGAAGTTATCCTTGAACACCGGGGATTCCCGGACTACATTTCCCAAAATTCCCGACCGGAGTTGGGCGGTCCTCTAAGCCTCCTACGGCGGAAGTTATCCTAGTATCCCGAGGTTGGGAGTGTTGTGGACTACATTTCCCAGAATTCTCAGAGTGCCTCCTCGCTTCTCTGGATCAGAAGTCCCGCCGTCAGGAAAGTAGACTAAATATCACAATGTCGAGGTCCGGAACAACGTCTTTAGCGCTCCTGAAGACAAAAATTGTCTAACCACGAAGCTTTCCCACCTTTCTGTGAGAGACTGTGTGTTAAACAATGCCTTTCTAGAGAGCGTCAGGGACTGTGTGGGACTTCTGGGCCACAGGAAAGTCTTTCCAGCCACTGGGCTTCCTTCCGTTCGAGATCATTTGCATGCTCACCCGAGTTTGGGGATTCTTAGTCTGAAACAGTTCTACCGACCGCTTCTCACCTTCAGCTCTCCAACCTTCACCCTCTTTTTGTAATCTTGGAAAAGGAAAACTTTCCAAAACGTGACACTCAAACTCAAGCAAAGCAAACTCAACAGAGCTACCACCCACCCAGTCTAAGAGGTTCTCCTATAAAAAGCGCATGGAGGAACTGGGAATACAGAGAGGAGAAGAAAACCAAGTTATACAAAAGAAACGAATCAATAATTTTAAATACACGCACACGCGTGTGTGTGTGTGTGTGTGTGTGTGTGTGTGTGTGTGTGTGTGTGTGTGTATTCACCATGTGAGTGAGTGTAGTGCCCAAGGAAGCCAAAAGAGGGTGTCAGTTCCCCCGAAACGACTTAAGCCATCTGAAATGGGTGCTGGGAACCAAACTCAGGTCCTCTGCAAAAGTAGTATGTGCTTTTAATAGCCAAGCGATCTCTTCAGTACCCTAAGTTTGGATTTTTTTTTAAAGATTCATGTGTATTAATGTGCGTGTATGTGGAGGCCAGAGGGCAACATGCACAATCAGTTTTCTACTTCCCCCACGTGGGTCATGGGGCTTAACCTCAGATGGTCAGGACTAGGAGCAAGCATCCTTAGCTACTGAGCCATCTTATCAGCCCAAAATAAAGATATTGAGCAAACAGTTTCTGTTTAGAAATCTATTTTACAGTAAAACTCTTGGAACCCATAAACCATTCCCCAGTAACTGTGGCAAGGCATATGGGTCATTCACATATTCAGCATTGAATCACTCATATATTAAACAAGGCCAAGTAGCCAAAACCAGAAGTACATGGGTGTTGTGGAATATTATTTTAACTAGGCAAACATGTGTTAGCTTTGTTTATGTTGCATTTCTTTAATTATGTAAAGATGTGTTACATTTGTTTCACCTTGCCTGCCTAAGGCACCTGTTTGCTCTAATAAAAAGCTGAACATCCAATAGCTAGGCAGGGAAAGGATGGGCAGGGCTGCCAGGCAGAAAGAACAAATAGGAGGAGAAATCTAGGCTTGGGAGAAGAAAAAGAATGAGAGAAGGAGGAGGGAACAAGGGAGCCGCCCAGGGCCAAAAGCCAGGCAGACACCAGCCAGCAGACACAAGAAGCAGTGAGAGTAAGATCTACAGAAAGTAAAAATCCCCGAGGCAAAAAGTAGATAAACAGGTTAATTTAAGTTAAAAGAGCTTGCCAGAAAAGAGTTAGGCGAAGGCCAAGCATTCAAAACTAGTAAGTCTCCATGTCATGATTTGGGAGCTGGTTGGTGGCCTAAAAGAAAAAGCCTGGTAAATAGGAGCAAACACCCACAGTCATTCAATCCTTCAAATATCTTTACACTTTCATCAACTCCATTGCCAAACACAAACATATTCAGCATTTACTGAAGAATTTTCTACGATCAACCAAACCTTGAAATTTTCAGGGCTCTAACTTGTAGCCATTTTGGATCAGCATGGTTCCTTCAAGATTCCAAGTGCCCACTGAAATCCATACACTTAAGCTGGGTGTGGTGGCACACATCTTTGATCCCAGCACTTGGAAGGCAGAGGCAGGCAGGCCTCTGTGAGTTCAAATCCAACCTGGTCTACATGGTGAGTTCCAGGCCATTCACAGTTACAGGGAGACTCTGAATCAAAAAATTAAAATAACCAAAAACCAAACAAACCAATCCAATATCCTACACTCGCACTTTCATCTAATACTGATTGTATCTATATAAATTAGGGGGATGGGCCTTTAATCTCAGCACTTGGAAGGCAGAGCCAGGCAGATCTCTGAGTTCGAGGCCAGCCTGGTCTACAGATAAAGATCCAGGACAGGCACCAAAACTAAACAGAGAAACTCTGTCTCGAAAAACAAAAGAAAAACAACAAAACAAAACCTTAGGGGGATGGGCAATAAAGTGTCTATTGTCTCCCAGACTTTCAAGCCTCCAACAAAATCCATGTGTGGAGAACTTTTGCCATTTTCCTATCTGAATTCAGAGTGCTACTTCTGGACATAGCCCAGCCCCTCAGACACTGTCCTTCATAAAGTCTATACCACTACCAGGTACACTACACTACATTTTCTGGTTTCATTCTGATGTGGGATGTCTTTCTGTATGCTGTGAATATATGTTGCTCCCACTGGTTAATAAATAAAGCTGCTTTGGCCTATGGCAAGGCAGTTTAGAGCCAGGAGGGAAATCCAAGCAGAGATACAGGAAGAAGGCTGGAGTCAGGGGCAGATGCTAGCCAGCCACAGGGGAGACAAGATGTATTAGAGTATGGGTAAAGCCACAAGACATGTGGCAAAACATAGATTAATCGAAATGGGTTAAGTTGTAAGAGTTAGTTAGTAATAAGCCTGAGCAATAGACCAAAGAGTATGCAATTAATATCAAGCCTCTGAGTGATTGTTTACAAGTGGCTGCAGGACAGGGTGGGACAGAAAAAAGCCTGCTTAGATCATTCTGTCAGAGGACTCTCTAGACCAGTGGTTCTCAGCCTTCCTAACGCTTCAGCCCTTTAATACAGTTCCTCATGTTGTGGTTACCTCCAACTATAAAATTATTTTCATTGCTACTTCATAACTGTAAATTTGCTACTGTTGTGAATTGTAATGTAAACATCTGTTTCCCAATGATCTTAGGTGACCCCAAAGGGGTCGAGCCCCACAGGTTGAGAATCACTACTCATCCCCTGGGGAGTCGTCCCCTGGGGAGGAAATTGTACTCACAGTAATCTTTAGCAGCCAGAACTTTGGGTTTCGTTTTCCAATTTCAGGGAATTCACACATCTAAATAACAGTGCATGTTTTCACTAGGCATGCTAGGTCTTGCAGGAACCATGCTCGTATAAATTAATAGAAAGCCAGACAGGCTACAGATCAGAACACTGATGATTTCAAAGTTTCAAAATTATTTGTTCCAAAGGTACTCTACTCTGGGCCTTCAGCTCAATTCTCTGCCTCCTTTTAAGAGCTACTTTTCTGAGATGGGCAGTGGTGGTGCACAGCTTTAACCCCAGCACTTAGAAGGCAGAGGCAAGTGGATCTCTGAGTTTGAGGACAGCCTGGTCTACAGAGTGAGTTCCAGGACAGCTAGGGCTACAAGAAAAACTCTCAAAAAAATAAAATAAAGTAAAATAATACTTTTCTGAGATCAAGGCTTCAGATACACAGTAATTTACAGGGTTAAAATTCATCATTTAGGGATAAAGATCAGAACAGACACAAGGAAAAAAAAAAAATCAAGGGACAGTAAGATGGATCATTTTGGTAAAGGCACTTAGCACCAAGTCCAACAACCCGAGTTTGATCCCGAGTGCACATGATGGATAGAGAACCAACTCCCTTTAAGATTAAGTTGTGCTGAGAGGTGGTGGCGGACCCCTTTGATCCCAGCACTCCGGAGGCAGAGGTAGTCAGATCTCTGTGAGTTCGAGGCCAGCCTGGGCTACAGTTTTCTAGGATAGCCTGGGCTAAACAGAGAAACCCTGTCTTGAAAACCAAAAATAAAAAATTAAGTTGCTCTGTGACTCCATGTGCATAATGGCATGTATCCCTCCATAATAAACAAACAAGGGGAAAAACCACCTCAAATGGGAGCTACAAAGCTTGCCTGAAAAATGCATTCCTGGGTTTTAAAATGTTTATTCACGTGTATGAGTGCTTTGCTCACATGTGCGCCTGTGTACCATATGTGGGCCTAGTACCCAGGGAGGTCAGAAAAGGGTGCTGCATCCCTGGAACTGCAGTTATGGATGGTTGTGAGGTTACAACGTGGGTGCTGAGAACTGAATCCAGCAAGAACAGCAGCTCTTACCCAATGAGCCATCTCCCCAGCCTCATTCCCTCACTCCGAAAACTCTTATCACAGGATACCCAGGGGAGAGTAACACCACCGGAGTGCTCCTTAACACTGCTCAGAAATATAAGTGGATGAGCCCACTTCCTCTCAAACAGGGTGCTTGCTAGTGGAAGTCGTCCTTGCCAATGAAACACTTTCGCTTTGAGCATCCCCTAGAGGGTGGCTGGCGCAGGCTGAGATGAACGGAAATCTGCAAGCCCCACTGTTAGCCATTCTTTAAAAGCTCAAACAAGCCGGGCGGTGGTGGCGCACGCCTTTAATCCCAGCACTCGGGAGGCAGAGCCAGGCGGATCTCTGTGAGTTCGAGGCCAGCCTGGGCTACTAAGTGAGTTCCAGGAAAGGCGCAAAGCTACACAGAGAAACCCTGTCTCGAAAAACCAAAAAAAAAAAAGCTCAAACAAGAGGGAGGTCTGTCTCTTTGTTGCTTCTCATCCATTTTATTCCTGTACCACTGGTTACAGTACAACATGCATCTCCAAAAGATGACAACATGAACAACAGCATCAAATAAATAGACCCATGATCCCTTTCCAACTTCAAGCTACACAAACATTTACCAAGGCTCTTCCAGAGATGCCCTATACTCTTGGCAAGTATTTCATTTCATATCGGTCGTTTTACCTGCGCGGTAGAAAATCTTACTGGTCACAGAAGTGGATAATCAGATTACAAAATAGCCATCAGGGAAATTATGCAGACTGACATGGTCAAATACTGTTTCCCACTTGCTGTGGGATGTTCTGTATGTCAAATGTGTTGCTGATTAGTCAATAATTAAAACACTGATTGGCCATTGGCTAGGCAGGAAGTGTAGGCGGGACAAGGAGGAGAATAAAGCTGGGAAGTGGAAGGCTGAGTCAGAGAGACACTGCCAGCCGCCACGATGAGAAACAGCATGTGAAGATGCCGGTAAGCCACGAGCCATGTGGCAAGGTATAGATTTATAAAAATGGATTAATTTAAGCTGAAAGAACAGTTAGCAAGAAGCCTGCCATGGCCATACAGTTTGAAACCAATACAAGTCTCTGTGTTTACTTGGTCGGGTCTGACGGCTGTGGGACTGGCAGGTGAGAGAGATTTGCCCTGACTGTGGGCCAGGCAGGAAAACTCTACCTACACCCACTCTTATGGTATAAAAACAAGAACCCTGTAAGTCACCACCACACATTCACCACAGCCAGCACTCACTCAGACTTTTTGGGAAAGGCCATTGGTTTAGATTTAGTTTATCTGAAATTCAGATCTGAGTGCTTTCTTCACGGAAAAGCAGCAACACTTATTGTCTGCAGGAGCACACACACACAGGTCGTTTGTTTTTTCGTCTTCTTTCAGACAGGCTACATTGAACTCACAATTGTCTTGATTCAGCCTCACTAGTGATGGGTTTTGGGTGTGAATTTCCAAAACTCACTCGAGCTCAGCATACATGGCAATGGTGTGGGGGCTTTGAGCGCGATGGAGCCTATTTCTTGGCTCAGATGAGCTTAGCTCAGAGGACTAGGGCCCTGAAAACTCAATGGCCACCTGTCACTCTGAGGCAGTGGCTCCTGCTATCTCTGGATTGGAAGGAGTAACTAGTGAGGTCTGCGGAAGAGCAAAGAAAGCTTCGTTGAGATGGAAAAGCCACTCCTGAAACACGATGGGAGGGTACGCCAGAGTGAGTTTACCCTTGGGCTGTGACTGGAGCCCAAGTGCTCCAGCCTGTATGAGTGATGACTGAAAAGCTCACCTGCCTGCAGTGAACAGGCATGGGGGTTCTGGGTGGGGAGATGAGGTGCGAGGACATGGCTCATCGAGCCAGCAGCACCAAGGGGAAGACACAAGAAGCTGGGAGTGCTTCCTGACGGCCTGCGGCGCACAGCTTCTGAGCGCCAGCTTTACAACAGAGAGGCCATGTCTCAAGGCCAACCCAGAACTCTCAAACAAGAGGGCATCTGAAATAGCTTATTTACTCTAATCTCAACCTTTCTGGGTCTAGCTTCTGCCTTCTCAAGTGCTTTGGGAAGCCGCTTCTGCCAGTCAGCAGGCAGGCTTCTAAGACCAGTTGATGGATGACGCCTGCACAGAGCCATGCAAGAAAGCAGCTGTGTGGGTGCCTCCCAGCTGTTCTTCTCCAGGGCCACTCATCCTCTCCTGTCAAACTAAAAGCCTTCCTCCTCTCTGCCAGCAGCACAGGGGTAATGAAAGGGTCTGCGTGCATTCTTCCCCCAGGTATAACAGAGAGGCTGGACTGACAGGAGTGAACTTGAGCTCAGACTCTGAACTAGTCAGGACTTACACGACTCCTCACTGTGAGTAGCCTGGTGCCTACTGCGCTTCGAACTGCTAATAAACGCTTTCCCACACTGGCTGCATTTGTAAGGTTTCTCCCCAGTATGAGTTCGCTGGTGGACAATGAGACGGGCACTGAGGCTGAACGTCTTCCCACACTGATTACACTCATAGGGCTTCTCTCCAGTGTGAGTTCTCTGATGCTGCGTGAAGCAGGAGCTCTGCCTGAAGGTCTTCCCACACTGGCCGCACTCGTAGGGCTTCTCTCCAGTGTGTGTCCTCTGATGGACAACCAGGACGTAGCTCTGACTGAAGGACTTCCCACACTGCTTGCACTGATACGGCTTCTCCCCAGTGTGCGTTCTTTGATGCATGACAAGATGGGAACTGCGATTGAACGACTTCCCACACTCGCCGCACTCGTAAGGTTTCTCTCCTGTGTGCGTCCTCTGATGGGAAACCAGCTGAGAACTCCAGCTGAAGGATTTCCCACAGTAATTACACTCAAACGGCTTCTCTCCCGTGTGCGTCCGCTGGTGTGCGACGAGCTTATAGCTCTGACTAAAGGACTTCCCACAGTGACTGCATTCATACGGTTTCTCTCCAGAATGAATTTTCTGATGTGCGATAAGTTTATAACTCTGGATGAATGACTTCCCACACTGAGTGCATTCGTATGGCTTCTCTCCAGTATGAGTTCTTTGATGTGCGATAAGTTTGTAGCTTTGCCTGAATGACTTCCCACACTGGTTGCACTCATAAGGCCGCTCGCCGGTATGCGTTCTTTGATGCACCACAAGAACATACCTCTGGGTAAAGGATTTCCCACACAGATTGCATCTGTACGGTTTCTCTCCAGTATGAATTCTCTGGTGAGAAACGACATGTGAACTCCGGGTGAAGAACTTGCCACACAGGTTGCATTTGTAAGGCTTCTCCCCTGTATGAGTTCTCTGGTGCGCAATGAGATGGGAACTCCAGCTGAAGGACTTGCCACAATACTTACATTCAAAACGTTTCTCCTCAGAATAGTTTCTCATGTTCCGAGGAAGAGATGGGCCTGGGGCCGTTGTACTACAGTTATACTGGCCCTCTTTAACAAGAATCCTCTGCTGTTCACTTAGGGATATGTTATGGTTCAAAACTTGCCCGCGCCCTTTAAAGCCAAAGGTTTTACCTTCTATACGAACTTTATCATGTACACTGAGGGGTGTACCACGGCCAAAAGATTGAACACGGCCATTCAATTCATAGGATTTATCTCCTTTTGGGGTCCTTGTAAACTGAGTGAGATGAATGCTCTGAGGGACATTTCCGCATTTGTCGTCTTCGGAGAGATCTGGAGTATCGCTCATCTTCTGATGATTGTTAGCAACAGCATCACCACATGACTTCTTAACATGTGATGCCTGTTTATGAAAATGGTTTCTGTGAGGTATCATGGGGGACGAAAGCCGGCTAGAACGCAGGCGACTCCTGTCAAGCTCATCAGACCTGCAGACCACGTCAGGAGTGTCAGCTCTCCCCTGGGTAAAGGCCTCTTCCTCTTGCTTTTCCTGTTGTTTCTTCAATTGTTCCTTAGGAGCAGGCACTTCTTCACAAGAAGAGAGCCAAGGATCCTCTCTTGCCAAGCCGCCCATCTTCACTCCATGGGATGTTTCCTCATCAGAGACAGTCTGCTTTGGGGTGGTTTCTTCTACCCCAGGCACAGCTGGCAAGGCTGCAAGATAGTAAAAACAAGACGTGATCACCGCTGTGACCAAGTGCCCAGCGGTAACGAGATAGTAAAAACAAGACGTGATCACCGCTGTGACCAAATGCCCAGCGGTAACAAGATAGTAAAAACAAGACGTGATCACCGCTGTGACCAAGTGCCCAGCGGTAACGAGATAGTAAAAACAAGACGTGATCACCGCTGTGACCAAGTGCCCAGCAGTAACAAGCCTACAGGAGGAAGACCGTGGCACGTGGTTCAGAAGGTTCAATCCAAAATTAATTACTCTGCCTTAGCCTCAGGGGCTTGTGCAGAACATGATGTCAACAGGAGTGTGTGCAGAGGGTTCAATTCATAGTAGCTAGAAATCATAGATGGAGACCGGAGTACAGGTATACAAAGGAATACAAAGGCATACAAAGGAAATGACGCCTTTCTCCAAACCAGACCCCACTTTCTGGTTTCTAGAACCTTCTGAGAGTGCCACCTGCTATACATACACACACACACACAATTATTGTTGTTCTCTTTTGTTTATTTGAGACAGAGTTTCTCTGTGTAGCCTTAGATGTCCTGGAACTCACTCTGTAAACCAGGCTGGCCTCAAACTCACAGAGATCCACCTGCCTCTGCTTCTGAGAGCTGGAATTAAAGGCATGCACCATCAGGGGGCTGGAGAGATGGCTCAGTGGTTAAGAGCACCGACTGCTCTTCCAGAGGTCCTGAGTTCAATTCCCAGCAACCACATGGTGGCTCACAACCATCCGTAATGAGATCTGGTGCCCTCTTCTGGCCTGCGGGGACACATGCAGGCAGAATACTGTATACATAATAAATAAATAAATCTTAAAAAAATAAATAAATAAAATAATTTTAAAGGCATGCACCATCACCGCCATGCTAATAAATTATATTTTATATAAATTTCTGTTCCCAGGGTGGAGCAGGGTCACCTGTATTAGAAGTTATACAAGGCTGAAGAACTGACTACAAGAGCATATCAATGATCAGTGTTTTCCAACTCAGGTTTCCAAATGACCCCCAGATCTCCAAGTACCCATAGCACCCTCCCCCAACACATCCAGGTCTCCAAATGTCCCCAAGCCTTCCAGTGCAACCAGGTTTTCAAAGTTTTCCCATGTTCCTCAGGCCCTGGAGATCCCCAGCCTCTCCAGAGTCACCAGCAATCCCCTAACACTCCCAGGAAGCAGCAGCAGCAGGGGTGCCCCGAGGATAACAGGAAAGGCACTGTGAGCTAGACAACACCCCGAGAGCTTCTTAGGGCTGCAGAAACAACCAATGTGCAGGAGCACCAGGTCCAGGTCTGGTGTGAGAATTCCAGAATAAATTATCCCTGCTGCATCTCCAGGAACATCAGCAAAGGCTTCTGGGGTACTCGGCAGGGAGTCAGTGCAGAAGGTTGACCTCTGAGTTTCACCTGCACACTATGGTGTGTTCGTGAGCACATAAAAGAAACAAATGTAAAACCATCAATCTGGCTACCGAGCCTCTCACCTTCTTAATGGGAAAGGAAAGCATCAGTAGACACCTCTTCTTTGGATCTGGCTAAGTACTCACCCCACAGGTCCCTGTGGCCCTCCAGGATCACATTTCTCTCTGGGGTTCTCTGGGCATTGTGCCAAGTGCTCTGCTCCTCCTCAGTGAGGTCTACGGTCACAATCTTGAGGTCTGTGCTTTCCTGGAACAGCACACACACACATTCCTGCTTAGCTGGGCATGGTTTTGTTTGTTTTCTAGTGTTCATGGATGGAGGCTTAAACCACAGGGCGGTTATCCTTAGATTATCTGCAGCCAAAGCATCCCAACCGAGGTCAGAAACACTTCAGAGAGGAACACCGAACAAGTATACAAATTCTCTTCACCTTTTTATCTATCTATCTATCTATCTATCTATCTATCTATCTATCTATCTATCTATCTATCATCTATCTATCTATTTCAGTGTAGGGACTGTACCCAGACCCTCACACAGGATAGGCAAGCACTCTACCACTAAGCCATGTTCCCAGCTTTGACAGAAGTTATTTAACAGCTGCTGGAGAGGTGGCTCAATGGTCAAGAGCACTTGTTGCTATTGCAGAGGAGCAGGGTTCAATTCCCAGCACCCACATGGTGGCTCACAAACACCTGTAACTTAATTCCAGAGGATCTAACATCCTCTTCTGACCTCCATGGGTAAGAGGCACACATGTGGTACACATACATGTACACAAAACACTCACATACATAAAATAATATAAATAAATCTCTTTAAAATTCAAGTTATTTATTTTTATTATTTCATGTGAATGGATGTCTTGCCTGCTAGTATTTATTGCTCCATGTGTGTTCGGTGCCTGCAGAGGCAGCAGAGGGCATCAGATGCCCTGGGATTAGTGTTACTCACTCTTTCGAGCAGCCATGTAGGTGCTGGGAATTGAACCTGTGTAGTATGAATCTTAAAAGTTCTTATTAATAAAATCAAACCTGAGGCCAGTTATTGGGGTAAATGCAGGAAGGTCAGAGTACCAGAACAAGCCACAGCCATCTCACCTCGTCAACTTCTCAGCTGGTCTTGTTTCCTCAGACTGGAAGCCTCTGAGTCCTCATCCAGAATGAATCTCAGCTGAACTGTGTTGCTCCAAAGCCTGAATGCTTAACCAGGCCAAATGCTTAACCAGGCCAAATGCTTAACCAGGCCAAATGCTTAACCAGGCAAATGCTTCTAGTTTCTGGTCCTCACGCGTTATAAACCTTTCTGCTTTCTACCACCACTCCCTGGGATTAAAGGCTGCTTTCTGGGATTAAAGGTGTGAGTCACCATGCCTGGCTGTTTCCAATGCGGCCTTGAACTCACAGAGATCCAGAGGGATTTCTGTCTCTGGAATGCTAGAATTAAAGGCGTGTGCTAACATTTTCTAGCCTAAATATCTTGTGCCTTTTCTGTTCTCTGACCCCAGATAAGTTTATTAAAGTACACAATATTTTGGGGAACACAATACCACCGCAAACCTGGGTTCTCCAGAAGAGAAGCCAGTGCTCTTCATCACTGGGCCATCTCTCCAGCCCCTATATTTTTATCATTTGGTGCCATCATGTGTCTGTATGTGACAGAGGAGGTATGCCAAGCTCAGAGAAGCAGTCTCAGGCTCTGGCTCATGCCTTCCACCCTGAGGCAGAGTTTTATTTCCGCCATGCTGCATACCCCAGGATAGGTGACTTGGCAGCTTTCTGGTTAATCTCCTGACTGGTTGGTTACTAGGGCTTG